ACAAAAACGTTCTGGAACTTCTCACTGTTTATATCACTGGAGATAAAAAAGACTTAAAAAAAAAAGAGAATAACTCTGCACAGTCATTTTGGGTGGAGAGGAGATAAACTGTCTTGAACTGACACCTAGTAACACTATATTAGTAAGATGCATTAGGTCAAAATGTTCAGTTGGTTTTCTACCCTTTACGAAAAGTTCCATGCAATTGCCAAAATCATGAGTGGTCATTATTTCACTTTAATTATTTGTTCCAGATGGGGTGGGTCTGTGAACTCAGTGACCTGAACATTGCCTTCCATGACACTTACTAATAAGTTGTGTAGGTACATTTGGCAAATAGTATTTCAAAAAGACTAGGCCTGTACAGTATTTCTTGTTCATGCATTAGGACACAGGTTTACATTTGGGCTCCACATGTCATTTATAGTAATTTGTACACACAAAGACAAACACACTTAGATAAATATATATATTTACATGCACATTTTTTATATACGTAAATGTCATCAGTGACTGCAGGGTAAGGCTGTTTATCCCACTTTGGATTTATTAGCAAACTGTCACATGTTTAATTGACTCACTAATATTGACTGTGCACCTCAAATATCAAACATAGTACTAAGCAGCAGAAAAGTAAAGATAATTACATCATGTGAGCTCAAATAGCCATGATCAGGTGTGAAGATAGACATACTAATAGATTTAAAGGTAATAGGTTACACAACTATTTGAATTGATCTCTGCAAAAGAAACCCCCAAATATAATGACTTAGTCATATAAGGAATTTACCCTCTCACCAAAAAAAAAAAAATGTCAAGTTGAAATCAATCCAGTGAAACTTCAGAGCAGACAGACTCTTTCTACTTTGCTATCCTTCATGCAAGGGTTCTAGTCCCAGATTGTCTCATTTTCCAAGACAGCAACTAGAAGATCCAAGAAAAGGAAAAGAAGAGGAAGAGACCTTCCCCAGATATGTCTGTTTCTTTTAAGCAACCTACCCAGAATTCCCACATACTTCCACTTTTATTTGACTAATTACAAGTTGGTCACATAGCCCAGGTAGTCAAATGGATTCTTTAAACTAGATGTATTGCCACCCCAAAGAAACTGGAGATCTCTTCTAGAATGATGGGAAAGATGGACACTGGCTGGCTGCCACACAGTTATGAACCAATGCTGAGGAAGCATAGAACAAAAAACTCTGGAATCTGAGGAAGGCTTTTTGTTTTCCTTTGAAATGATACTTAATTAGTTATGAATGGGAGTTTGCTGGATAAAGAATTCAAAAAAAGCATTCCAGTTAGAAATAATAGTGACAGTAAGGAGGGGTCTGGACTTGCTAATAAGTTCATTTCTGCTTTCCTATATATTTTGTCTGTCATTTAATGAGAGCTAGTTTAATTTTTGATAAATCTAACAGTTAATGTAAAAGTTTTATTTTTAAACAATCTAATAGCTATTCAAGAGCAACAGATTGAGACTTGTCTATAATAATTTCCTGATCAAACTTCAACCTGTTTTCCACTTGGACCAAAATAACATTTTATCTGATGATGACTACTCCACATTTTAGACATAATTGAGTGAGAATATTTTGGCATCTGAAAAAGAAATTGAGTGGGGGTGAGGGGGAGGGACAGTTGTATAAGGGAGATATTTGTCTTTTGAGTTCTGATGTTGAAGTCAGATCTGACTTGGTTCATGTCTTGAGTCCATGAACTCACATTGTGAGCACTCACACAGTGGTCTGGTCAGGTCAGCCCTAAAGCATGTCACCTCCTCTTTAGCTCTTCCTGATCGGACCATTACTTTGGAGCTGCAAAGCTGTTCTTTTGTCAAATGGCTTTGAAACTATAAGAAATCTTCAGGATCAGAGAGAGATTCATGATAATCTTCTTTTGGGCTCCTTTAGAGACATCAAAATCCTTTAAAATTTTGCCAGAGAAACATATTCTTTGAGAAACCTAAAGTTCCTTTAAGATGCAAGGAGACACCCAAGAGTGTGAATTCCTATACCCCTGGCCCATCTTACCCTTACACAGGTCTTCGCCTCTTATGAGGTCAGGGCGATCTCTTTTACACTACAAACAACAGTAGTCAGTGATCCTCTGAATACTGCCTAAATGATTACTATTTGTCTTCTCAAAGGTTTTAGCTCTACCAAGGCAATCAGGTGGTTTGGTCTAGTCATATTTGGTGACTCTTTTCTTTTTTTGTCAATTTTGGTTTTTGCTTACTTTCTAATTAGCTTGTGTCAGGCAGGAGGAAAAGATGGAATGGACCCCACAGCAGCACTTTCCTTTGTCTGGTTAACTTTGTCTCTTCTTTCTTATCTCCACTTAAGATTCTTAGGAAAAGAATCTCTAATCAAGGCATATCCTCCATATGATATGCTCTCAGACTACTGTGTCTGTCTGTGTTTTATACCTTTTATCTCATTAGTCTTTTACAATCACTGTGTCCTGGTTGAAGTAACGGCAAGTAAGGTGGGCCTCTCTGTACTAAACTCACTGGGGAGTTTCGTCTTCACACAGTCTCTAGCCCATAACATATCTTAAATGACTCTTGACTAAATGATTAAATAATTTTGTGTGTGTAGATGAGTTCCCTTCACCCTCATTTCACTCTGTGCTCAGAATCTGGGAATGAAAGAGTTGTCCCATTCATATGGGGGTTCATCTATAACGGAAAATTTTAAAGAGTCAGTGTTTTTGTTTTTATAAAATGAGATTTTTGGGGGGCCCTCCCTGGTGGCACAGTGGGTTAAAGCACAGCTCAAAGAAGCTTAAGCCACTTCTGCATGAGTTCAATCCCCGCCTTCCCTGGAGGAGATCCACATGGTGTGGCAGACCTCTCCTGACCCATTCGCTGCTCCCCTCAGCAGTGTACTTCATCTATCTGCCTGTTCTACTCCCTGCTCTGTCTCTGGTGAATTCTCTCACCCTCCGCATCTCTGGCCTGTACTCCAGTTCTGTACGAATAAATAAATAAATCTTTAAAAAAATGAGATTTTTTTATGCTTTATTTTCTTATATTATTCACTTTTGTACAGTATTTGATTTCTCCACTGAAGTGTAGACTCCATAAATCTCCCATTATCACATTAACTGTGAACCATCACCATAGTCCGTTGTGCTCCTCCCAGCTCTATTGTGATCCCTCCCCCTTCCTCTCCATTTTATGCCTTACATCTATAGTTTGCCTCCAAGTTTTGTCTTTTTTTTAGCCTTTGTTTCATTTCCCTATATTCCTCTTATAAATGAAACTACCCAATATTGTTCTTTTCCTTCTGATTCATTTCACTGAGCACAATTCAGCTCCAACCATGTTGCTGTGAATGGCATGAGTTGAACATTTTTGATTGCTGAATAGTGTTCCATTTATATAGGATCGTTTCTAATAGCTACAGTCACTACACTTAAAGGGGACAGGGGCGGTCCTATATTTCCAAATATCAACAATAATGGATATCAACATTACCTTAATAAAAAAAAAGAGTAATAATTACATTGCAGTTACATAATGGCACATTGAGGAAGTCTTCAGCCACACTTGTTTGGCTCTGCTCCATGAACTGTGACTGAATTCCAAAATGGCCTCCCCATAGCCTCTGAACATGTGGGGAATTGCATCTTAATCTCATTGAACCCCTAAAGATAGAGCGAACATAGGTTCATTCCCAGGCTAAAACCTAAACCCTATTTCCCTGATATCTTTGCATTTCAGAAAATGAGTAACTGTTGAAGCATTGTTTTGTCATCTGTTTTAGAAAATGCTTGGATGCTTTTTGTGAAAACATGCACATTGCCACATTTTAAAAATACAGCACAGATAAAACACAATACTAAGTAGCTGTATTTTTGAAACCTTTGCCTGAACATGTGTTTGCAATTATTAATTAAAGATTCAAAGAGGAAAACCAAACCTCAAAGAAGTGTATTAGCAACCACATATTTGAAAGACAGGACAAATTATAGGGACTTTGTGGAGACAAGCATGTTCAAATGTTACTACAGTTTTATTTTACAGTTTCGTTTTTTCAATGACAATGATTGAAATCTTTTGGGAATGGAATAAGTCTTTTGATATTAGATGTAATTGGACCCGTGGAGGTAAAACCAAATACAGTTTGTATTCAATTCTTTTTCTTTCTTTTTTTTTTTTTTTACTTGAACATTGCAAAGGAGAGGTGAAAGATATGAATGAATTTATCCATATATTGATTTAATAAAGTCTTGTGACTTCAGGTCTGATTTAAGTAGGAATAAAGGTTTTATTAGATGTATTCAGAACTCAGCTACTTATTAGCTAAGTGTCCCTGGCAAGAGTCATGTCTTAACCCATAAAAATGAGGATCTTGTACATAATTGTTTTGAAAATTAATGAGACATTTGTACTGTGCCTGGTATAGGGCAGGGCCAGGCAAATCATGGAGACTCAATGTCAGTTTCTGCTGTTCTCCATGCCACCCCCTCTCCTACCACACACACATACACAGAGCTTGTTCTGTTGGCTTATTCTGTTTCTCTTTTCTTAATTGAAATGCTCACTATAAAAGGAAGTGTTTTCATTATCATTCAGCAAATATTTATTGAGGAATTACAGCTCACCAAGCACTGTTCTAGTTGCTTGGCATACATCGGTGAACCCAAGAAATAAAAGCCCTGCCCCTCTATTCCCTCCTCTTCTTTGCTCTCCCACTCTTTCTCCTCATTCTTCTTTTCTCTCTGCCTCCCTTTCTTTTTCCCTCCCTCTACTTTTCTTTCTTCTAGCCTTCTTTGTGCATGTTGATTTGAACTATAAAAACATCTTTAGCCATGCTGTTTTTTTCCTTCCATGGTTTGATTTATAGTCCAGCTGTATTTAGTCCCATTTATGGGAAGCATATTTTATGCTTCCTTAAGTGTAGAGGAAGGGTCAATTGGTGGTGATAGACCTCATGGTGGAGCCCTCCATCAGTGGGCACCTGGTTGAATCATACATCTCTCTCTCTCGTTAGATTGTTGGCTGCGATCATCAGCTGGGAAGCACTGTCAAGGAAGATAACTGTGGAGTCTGCAATGGAGACGGGTCCACCTGCCGGCTGGTCCGAGGGCAGTATAAGGCCCAGCTCTCTGCAACAAAATGTAAGATGTACCAAGATGGGGCAATCTTTGGGCTCGCTGACTTGTTACTGTCCTTTGCTCAGCTCTGATCCCCCTCAGCAGTTCAGAATAACATCTCCATATAAATGAGAACAGATTTGAAAATGCCATAGAGAGTTTTATTGTCCTGCTTTGTGAGTTACTTTCAGTGGAACAAGTCAAACCACAAGTTACAGTGCCATGGAGATAGTCTTTCCATTTGAGAAGCAGTAGGAGCGAACTAAAATAGATGTAGACACACTATCCATGCAAACAAGAGCTTTGCTGTCCAACATGAGAACAGCCGGCAGCCCAGCCCCTATCTGACCCTCTTTGGTACACACAGTGGAATACAGCAGACCGAGTGAGCACGTAGAGCAAATGTACTCCTCCTACTGTGTAATCCCATGGTCTTGATTTACAGAGTGACCTTTGATGTGTGCTGATCACAGTGTTTTCTGAGTTCATATTGGACAGTGGTTGAGTCACACCATTTATTGCTATTTGTGTCCTAATCTTTCTACTCCAGCACAGTAAATTGCAGGCATTTTATATACATGAGTATGATTGGAATTTTATATGATCATCTCATTTAATCCATTTAGTAACCTTATAACACAGTACTGTTTATCCCCATGTTATGAATGACATGACTGAAGCTTAGGCAGATTATGAGCTTGTTCAGTCACATATCTATAAAGTAGGAGAGCCAAGATTTGAGCCGAGTCTTATTCCAGATCCTAAGCACTTACTCATTCTTTGGACAGTCCCTCAATCCTGTTGGCTGTTACCATGATAGGACATTTGTAAAGAAGATAGATGGATCAAGGCAGAGTAGCTCAGATGTCTGCCCAGCAAGGTCCTGCTAGTACATGGCCTATGTTCTCATGATACCTAAATCACACAGCCATCCAGGACATTTTACAATACATTGTCTTCTGTAACGATCACTTCTCTAGGTGCTGTAACAGAATTTTAGAGTAATTTCATCTTGCTCGGATGTTGTCTCTAGATTTTGCCATTATCCATAATTCTTTAACAGACCTGTGATTGCCTCTTTCAACATGTTTTCCCTGGATTGCGAAGTGAGAATGAGTATCTTTACCAGGTGTGATGTGTTCTCTTCACTTTTTGACTAGCTGCAGAAAATAATTGACATATGGGAGTTGAGATTTTATTTATTTTTAAACATTTTTATTTATACATACAGAACTGGGGTACAGGCCAGAGGGGCTTGGGGTTTTAAATGGACCTGTAGGTCAAGAGAAAAGGCAGTGTCACGGAGAAGTCAGAGAAATGCAATTTAGCAAAAAGGCTAAACCCCTCAGGAAGAAGGGGCATGGGAAGAAAGACAAGGAACTTTTAAACACATGAAATGTTAGAGGTGCTAACATAAGGAGCTCCCAACATCCTGACACCCCTCCACTCAGAGAATGTGATTCTAAAAGAGGGGAAAGAAAAGACTCTGGCAGAGAGAATGAGGATAAGACAAGTTAGACATTGATATAGTACATTCTAGTGAGGTATTTTTTGTCAAGTAGCATCATGGTAAGAGGAAAACTTAAAGAAATTAGAAGATGGAAACCAGAGATAGGGACCTAAATCTTTTGTGAATCTCTGAATTCAGGGCAAGATATTTTTTAAAAGAAAGTTACATTTGAAAGGTCACTTTACTAGAACTCTTGGAGAAAATCTGGAAGAATTAAAATCTTTCTATTTGCATCAATAGTCAAAATAGTGCCAGTTATCTAGAAATATAGGAATTTCTGTGGGGCAAAAACAGAGATAGCATGCATTTGTGAAGAGGCTGTTGTACAACAACTTCTGAGAGCAAAGTTTTTGTGACAGTGATCCTTTATTCTTCTAATGTTCCCCAATCATAGAGGATCCTGAACATTCTGCTCCTATACATAGTTCTTTTACACTCCTATTAGGGGCTGTTAGTGTCTTTTGAGGCCTGAATCACTGGAACATGATAGAGATGCTCTGAAGGGACAGACAAGCCGTAAGTTAACTCCTGGTCTGCGATTAGAGACCTCAGTGAAATATGCTCTATTCAAAACTGATAGTAGGTAAATTATATGATGCACAATCTGATGATTATCCATAATGACAAAATACAATTGATTCATTTACCTTAGCACTGATGATGCCTTATGACAAAATGATTTATGTCAGTGAAGCCCAGTAAATGCAGGTACCTCACCACAATCTATAGCAGATGCTGAACAAACTGCCTTAGTTATGTTTTCTCCACCTCAGAGGTACCTTCCACCCTGTATTTACAGACTGTGAGGTGACCCGCAGGCAGGGAAGATTAGGCTGCTTTGCAGGGCCCAGTGTCCTGGCCAGGTGAGGTGCTCTCTGCCTGAGAAGGCCTGGGGGAGTTCTGCCAGGCCTCCGAGCTCTGCCAAGATCTCAGTAAGCCAGTCCCAGGTTCTTTTCGAAGGCCTAGCTCTCGTATTCCCACATTGAACTCATTTTGTTTCTGTACTCATATCCAAGTTTTTTTCATAATGTTATCAAGCCTCAGGGGAACAAAGGAAAAACAGGAGAGTGGAGAAAGACCAAGGTGGAAAGTGCCAGACAGAAAAGAAAAGGAGGAAGAACTTGTCAAATAAAGGCTATTTGCTGGCAAATTAAAAAGCAACTGCCTTTGTATTAAAAGATATTTTAGTTGCCCAATACAAATACAGACCAGGGAAGCAAACTGATAGATCAGAGCACCCTTTGCCCCTTTTATGAGGCAAAAGTATTTTGTGCCCTTTGGTATTCTATTTCTCCTGTCTCTAATTTTCTACTTGGCCATAGAAAAGAATACAGGTTAGTTAATAATCTTATTCTTTAAGGACTGACTTTCTCACAAATGTTATTACCTTATCCCTTACTATGCATTTTCCAGGTGTACTCAGAATGTTCTTAGACATAGAGCCAGTCTGTTTGCTATGAATTTCATATCTACAGCTTTGTAAGCCTTTCATATCTACCTATATGTTTTAAAAACCACCTAATATCCCAAAGTTCTCTCCCATCTGCCTTAAGTAGCAAGGGCCAGATAAGCTAATCTGCCAAAATAAAATGAAGCTCCTAATACCTGGCTGTGCTGCTGAGACTGCAGCTTCTGCTGATTTATAATGACTATGGGTAAATATATTACAGGACTATCATTCTGGTGCAAAGAATGTTAGAATAAATTACAAAACTATATGCTATAAAGTGAAGCATACATAGGAATCATTTTATCCACAGAACTTGAAAGAAATGTATACCTTGTGCCTGACCTCAAACTGTACTCATAAGCCTTTCATTCATTCATTCATTCATTTACTCAGCCACATTCAGCCATTCATTTACTCAACAAAAATTGTTTCTTGGTACCTGCTTTGTGCTGAGAGATGGTTTTATGTGCTGGGAACAAAGAAAACAGCAAAACAAATGAAATACACTTTTCTCATAGAGATACTAGTATGAAGGCAAAACAGATAAACAGACCAAACAAATTTCTCGATGCCATATGGCCAATGAGAGTCCAGGAAAATGTGAACCAGGGGAGAAGAATAGGAGATGGAAATGGATGCCAAGGGGACTTGAAATTCAGTTAGTGAGAGAAAAGCTCACCTATACATTGGCAAGGGTCTCGGACTATCCCACAAAAGTCAGGGGAAAGAGAACTTCTAGCATAAAGAAAATCAAGTGCAAAGGCCATAAGGCAGATGTGTTATTGACATAGTTCTTAAAGCACAAATAATCTAGTGTGCTTGAAGTAAAGTGAGCTTAAAGAAGACTGGGAAGAATGATGCAACCCAACTGCGCAAAAATAGATGACTGGATCAAGAAGATGTGGTACATATACAAAGTGGAATACTATCCAGTGATCAAAAATATAAAGTCATGCCATTCACAGCAACATGGATGAAAGGGATGATGCTCAATAAAATAAAGCCAGAAGGAAAAAGAAAAATATCAGATGGTTTCACTTATAGGAGGGATATAGAGGAAACAAATAAGGGATCAGCAAATGAATAACAATAATAATAAGTAAATAAATTAACAGACCTCTATAAATCAGAGACATTCTTCAGTGGAGGGGGAAGTGATGGATCAAAATGGGAAGGAATAGCACAAGGGAATATGGTGATGGTGCATGAGTAAATTGGTGGGAATTTTACGGGCACTTCACCTGAGAGGAGAAAGCATACATTGCCCAAAATGAACAATGATGTAAAATATATCTACATAAAAAAAATTACATACACATATACACATATATGTATGTATGTATGTCTTTTAGGCTGGGACCCTATCATTACAGATAATGAGACATGTCTCTGTATTGTATGTACTGTATTTCTTTGAATCTAAGACATCACTAAAAGATGTGTCATCATTTTAGGTATCACTAAGATAGGGGGAAAATGTTGTCACTAAATGTAAGATGATGGCTCAAAGCCACCTGATCACTTGGGTTTTTATGTGATAACAGTTAATAAATCTATTTGGATGCAGATCTCTCTATTAATTACTCTTACAAATACAGGGGGAAAATGAAACTTAAACTGATATTTTCTTCAACCATAACTTCTTTTTGATCATTTGGATTTAGTCAATTTCCACATAGCATCAAGATTCTGTGATACTGCATTTTAAAAGAATCCACAAAACAAACAAAATTTATTGATACTAGATTATTTTTCCCAGTTTTATTGAGGTATACATGGCATACAATAAAGAAATTAATTGTAAAGAATTAATAATACTAGTTCTTTAAACTGTTGGTGGCTCTCAGAGAAAGTCTCTGAGCCTAAAATTTGCTCTTTAGGCCCTTAACTTACTGAGCATACAGAATACAGTTGTAATACTACTTTTTACTAGTGTGTTTTATTGATTACTTGATTTTTCCTTTCATTGTGGCCTGTACTTTTTTGGTTTCTTGGTGTCCCGATAAATTTCCACCTAACACTAGACATTAAAAATTTTTTGTGTTATATACTAAGTACATTTATATTTCTGTAAATATAATTGGCCCTTCAACACCACTGAGGTTAGGTGTGCCAACCTCCAGTGAAGTAAAAAATCCCACATGTAACTTTGACTCCCACAAAACATAACTGGTCATTCCTGAGTATCCATGGGGAATTGGTTTCAGAATCGCACTCAAATACCTACATCAGCAGGTGCGCAAGTCCCTTTTTGTAGCCTTTCCATAGACGTACTTAAAAGTAGTTTCAGAGATGTAACAGCTGATGTTAACTGATGACACATCGGAAGTTTCCCTTGGGTAAAGAGTGGAGAGACACTGGGTTCAATAAAGTAGGATGGATTTCTTTAGTCCAGGGCTTCTAAGAAATGAATTAAATTGCATAAGCAGGATAGGGTGTAGAATACTCTTCAGAGTCCTTTTTAAGTCTCATTTTCAAGAACCCTCTTGTGGAATTGGGACTTTGTTTATCTTTGTCATTAAGTCTAACTTTGCACCTGACACTAGGAGGCATTCAAAAAATAATGTGTGAAGAATGAAACTACTGACTGCCTGATGGCCTGCCAGTTATCTGTTAGCCTTTAAGAGAAACATAGGTGAACAGATTGTGACTCCTGCCTCTCTCATTGCGTGCTGCTGACCAAATCTGCACAAGCCTGAGATGCTTCATATCCTCTGACTGGGCAAGTGCAGGGGGGTCGCCGGAGACAGGCCATTCTTGCCTAGTCTACTCTCTCCATTCTGCCTCTTTCCCAACAAATTTCTGCTTCCTCCCATCATCCTACGAACTTATGAAGGTTGCTGAATCAGCCAGAAGCTATGGAATTTGAGTCACCAGCTCATGGCATTTGAGTCACTTCTCACCAGAACAAAAGGCAGGCTGCCTAAGCAGTGTGTGAGGCAAAAGACAGCCACTGAGCTTTGCAGGGCCAGACAGAAGGCTTCCCTTTTACATGCACTTTACTTGACCCGTAGATAAACAAAGACTTTCTATTTCTAGAAATCCCATTGTTTTAACTGCTTTGAGTTTCTTTTGTAGACATAAAAATCCATCTCTTTATGCGTGGCATTTAAAGCTCTATGGGTTAGTCTGCACTTTTTTTGTTCCTTTCCTATATTCCCCTGATGAATTGTGTTCTTCCTGTGACACATTCTTAGTTCTCTGAAATTCAGCTTTTTCCTCATTAATGGATGACATTAAAAACAGTGCGAAGATTGTAGTGTGTGTAGAATATTCAATATTATAGAAAACTTGAGAAATCTAACCTTTTAGAGAAGGAATTGAGAGCATCTGACCCTTGTTTCACATTCAGCTGGCTATGTGGTAGACTCCTTGAAGCACTGAAAAATAAACACTCAGCTTTATCCTTCAAGAGATTTGGAACAGAAGGAAGAAAAGTTAATATGTACAAAATACCTCCTGTGTTCCAGGTGTACATCTGCATATTAATGTTTGTATTTATATGTTTTCGCAACATTATTAAGAGGCAAACAGTTGCCATTTTACAAATGAGGAATCTAAGGATCACAGAAATTAATGAACTTCATTAATTGAAATTAAATTTTACCAAAAATAGGATGCTAAGGTTAAAATTCAGAGCAATTGGTGATCTTTTGGGAATTCCTTATTAAACTAAAATCTTCCAATGTTTGGGTGATAAAGGATAATATTAGAAAGATATGTATAAGTAATTTTGTATTGGATTATGTGCTTTTAAGAATTTTCTTTGTTTTTCTCTAGTGGATGACACCGTGGTTGCTATTCCTTATGGAAGTAGACATATCCGCCTGGTCTTGAAAGGACCCGATCACTTATGTAAGTAAAATTCACTTATTTTTCTTTAGGGATAGGGGATTTTAGACATTATTACTTATTTTTTGTTCCCAGAGGAGCTAAAAGTACAGAAGTACAAATCTTTCCACTCTATCATAATGTGATATTTTGAGTGCTTCTGTTTATCCTTTGCCTGATGAGATAGCACAAACCAGCATGGTAATTTTCTCTAACCATAGTCATTTTTAAAAAATAAAAAAACAAATGTTCCCAATGAGTTAAGAACATGTTTATGCCATTCTCATTCTCTCCATTCAGTCTTTTTTTTTTTTCCATTCCAACACTACCTTCCTCTCTTTTTATTTTCTCTTTTGCTACCCATTGCATGTTCCATTATTTTTATCAATTAGGGAAACATAGAAATAGCAAACAAGTATTTCCTGCAGCATTTAAAGGAAGCTCTTTTTGTCTAATTAAGCACTCAGTGTCCTAAGGACAATACAAGTCAACAGTATCTTGAGGATAGCTATTTGGGGTTCAGGATTGAACCTCAAAAACCAAGTGGTAGCATGCCCCACAAAATTTGTGCAAGAATTGATTTTCAGTCATACCAAGGTAGCAATGTACAGCCACATCTATTTCAATCCTTTTGAAGGGCTGTTAGATGTAAATTACAGACACAAAATTACAGACTGGCAATCAGGGGAGGGACGAAGGGAGCATAGGCTGGTACCCTCTATGCAATTCAGTTTCACTGTAAGTTCCCATTTCACTTGGCCCCTTGAGCACTTTTGATCCCCCCACTGTGATTGCTCCTGGGTTTCTAAAGAGGCATCTATCATTTTTTGTTCTTCCTCTCCTCCCACACACATGCCTAGGAAGCCAGTTTAAGTAGCTAGCATTATCTTTTGGCAATTGGATTATCAATGAAATAACTTTAGAAAGACAAACAAGAAGGAAAATTGGAGTCATAAAACTAAAAGTTCACACAGGCTACCAGAGTCTTTCTAAACATAAAAATAGATTTCATGGGAGAGGTGGGATGTGAAGGGTCATGTGAGCTAAAGGATTAAGTAAGGCACAGTTCACACAAAGCCAAGATGCTGACCATTCACCTTATATGGATCCAAGTTCTTTTCAAACCATGAACAACAACCCTCTAAAATATAGTGTTCACATGTCAAAGAATGATATATGTGTGTACACTATTACCATTCAAATGATTTGTTTATCCCCTTGAGAATTTGACATAGGTAACTGCCAATAGTGAATCTTCTAAAAAAGAGTATTTTTCTGAGTTGTGACAGGCTGAAACATAACATTCAGGCCAAGATCATCACCAAATGGAGAACTGGCTCCTTATTGTGAAAGAAAAAAATATCTGAACAAATAAATTTAAGAGGAAATTGATTTTTATAAATGTAGCCTCCCAGATTGCTGTGATCATGAGAGATCTGAATGTTGGCATTGTTTCCTTTAAATGCATCAAGAAGCTGATAGGCAGAGCTGCAAATGATAGTCAGAAATGGTGAAAAGCAAAATGGAACCTGCTATTTCCCCCCAATAGATATATTGTTCATAACATGTGTAGCTGATGCAGTTTTGTATTTGTTTATAATTGGAATGTAACTCAGCAGTGAATATGTGAATAAATGATGCCCTGTTTCTTGCACTGCTTTTGCCCTTAACTATAGAACTGGTTCAATATGGGACCAATTTTAAATATTTAGAGAACAATCAGAACAAGAGTAGGTGATCTGGGGGAGCCCCAGCTCATCTTACATTAGCTGTATATACCTTAAGAAGGACAGCTGGGAGACCTGGTGATAAAATTGAATGAGACGCTCAGAGCATGCTTAGCATCCCAGGATTTTGCTAAACTAAGTTATTTTATCTCCTGGAGAGGCATCCACAAATTAATACAAATGCATAGAAGACAGCTCAAAGAGTTAAGACTAGAGCAACACAATCCAGGTTTTTCCTGATGTCAACAACTGTGATTTCCCCCACTTCAGTATTCCTTTGACAGGCTGTATGCTGTTCTACTGTATGCAGTCCTCTGTTCACTAGGATGGGGGAGGGAAGCTAACCTCCTCCCAGAGAAGTGCTACACAGACTGTATCTGACAGTCAAGAGCATGTAAATGGACGTCAACTTTTCACAGCTCTCCATATTCCTGTGATAGAGAACTTGGAAGAGATGATGTTTTAAATAATCTAGAAGAAATGTTTAGGTACTTAGTACTCCCAGTGTGCATAAATGTGTCCTTAATCCCATATCACAGGGGACTCATTCTGATTGAATGTGGGGTTGGGATAAAAGAACCTAACCCAAGCACCCCATCTCTCTGCTGAAAAGCTAATGACAAAACAAGGGTTTTCATGCAAGTTTTGGAAACTTGTTAAACTTCTTCTATCTCTCTTCATGCAGAGGGCAGTTATTCTAAATCACCTTTGAACCACACATCATAATTGCCATCATCCCAGCTTGCTGTAATTTCCTACAACAAAAGATGCCTGGTAGTTTCTGACATTGACCAAATTCAGACTGGAATGTTCCTGTAATGAAACCATTCTTCTTTCTGTCTGAAAGAAGAAATATTCTAAGAAATATGTATATACAACATGGAGTTAAGCTCCAAAAATTACTTTTAAAAGAGAGCAAGCTGAAAAAGTATTATTAGTTCTCTGTCCTTAGGTCTGTATAGCTTCTTTATTGTGAACAAGAGCACACATGCGATGAAAAACAAAGTATAAATAATCACAAGGCAGCACATGAATAAAAAGTCACACTTGGGCTAAGAGTATTCAGAGGTGCAACCTGGATCTCATAGAACATAAAGAAACATCAGAGGATATCTAGAGTCAGGTCCCTCAAAATATGTGCAGAAGATAGTTTATTGAATGGAATAAGATTGTCAAAGTGACACCCCACTTTAGCTAGATGCCTGCATTAAGCCAACTGTGATTCAAAAATCTTCTCACAGGGAATCTTTAAAGTTGGCTAATAGGACTTAAAAACAATTTCATTTGCAGCAGAAACTCCTATGTGATACAGAATATGTATGTTTTGTTTCTGCCGCAATTTCAGTTTTGTCAATCATGCAAAGAATGATACTCCTAGCTCTATATAACTCTCAACTAATTGTGTTAAATGTGCTTGCTTGTGGTCTGTGTTAGCCTGGGGGAACATCTTTCTCTCTCTGTTCTTCCATAGCTCTGGAAACCAAAACTCTCCAGGGGGCAAAAGGAGAAAACAGCCTGAGCTCCACAGGTACCTTCCTTGTGGACAATTCTAGTGTGGACTTCCAGAAATTTCCAGACAAAGAGATACTAAGAATGACGGGACCACTCACTGCAGATTTCATTGTCAAGGTGAGTCCATTGAAGTACCTGTTTTCAAGACACATCCAAACTGATATTACATGCCATCTCTTGAAGAGAGAAAAAACTTCAGTCTTTGATACAGACTTGGAAACACTGCTATTCAATTAAATGTTTAATTGAAGGATGTAGAGTTTGGTATGATAAAATAAATCTGTGGAGGTGTGATCTTATATCCCTAAAATATATACAGTGTTGTAAGTCAATGTCACTTCAATAAGCATAATTTTTTAAAGGGCTTGAGCTACATTCTGGAGTCTTCAAGATCATGTGATATTTTTAAGTTTCTAGAAAGTATATGAATATGTATAGAGATAGTCCACTCAAAAGCTCAACATGTAAGTGTTTGTGGGATATAAACTGTTTTTAAAACAAGTTAGGATGCTATCGTTGGCTTCTATAAGGGTCCTTAGTCAAAAGAAAAGAAAGAGGAGAGGAGAGGAAGAGAGGAAGAGAAGGAGAGAAAAACTGAAGCTCCATAGGCTTGGTCATGCTTCCTATTGAAAGTTCTGTTTTCTCTTGTTCTGGCAACAAGACTAAGATGTTTCCTTCTATCGGAGCTTCCCTACTCTTCAAGGTAATATAAAACACATTGCTGGAAGCAACATACATATTCTTTAGGAAAAATGTACACACTAGAAGAACATTTGGGAATCACAATAAAATGAAACATATTTTTTCCTTCAGTAGGTCAGAAGGACCTGAAGGATTTCAGCTGTAAAGCTGTAAAACTTGTAATGTGTCCAGGACTCCATAAATTTTTCATCATGGGACCTGGAGCCAGAGGACATTTGATTTAAGCTAAGCCTTGATGACCCCATGGCGGCTGGAAGTAAGAATGCACGTAGGAAAATGTGATAGGTTGGATGGAAGAAGGGTTCCAGAGTGCTGTCCTCTCTCCATCTGCTTGGTAGCTCTTTTTAATCCAGACCAGATGCCAGCCGCATGAATAAGAACAATAAATGACAGATATCTCACAATGAATTGATTCAATAAGTAACTAAATAATTTCATTTAAACAAGCAAACGCATTTTAAAAATTGAGTAGTCATTTTTTTAAAACCCTTAGACTGCTATTGAATAAACCATTTATATTAATTTCCTTAGTGGCCTTGCAAGAGTTTAATGTGCATTCTGCAAATAAGGAAGTGGATTCAAGTGGCATTATCCACATCTGAATAGTTCATCGACTGTATCTCATATATTCACTTGCCCTCTGCCCATTACCACTTGGAAGCTGTAAACTAAAATGCCTAACCCCAGAAACTGCCTTGATCTTTATTTCTTATCTTGTAAAGCAATAATACACTGTCTACCCAAACAAGTCAAAAATCTCTAAGTCGACCTGATTTTGCCCTTCCTATTGGCCCCATAATATCCCAGAGCAGATATTAAACTCTGCTAGCTCACCACCGTACCATCTCTCAAGATTGTTCTTTCTTCTCCATCCTTGGTGCCACTGTCTTAGTTGAGCCTTTGTATTTTCTCATGGAAACTGCTACCATGGAATCAGAATTAGTTTTGTAGCCTCAGATCCATTCTCTGAGTTGTCTTTTAGGGTGAGTTTTCTAAAACTACAGCTTCCCTCTTGATAATTTTGCACTGACCTTCAACTCATTGCTTGGCAGTTAAAATGCAAGTCTATAGAGCAGTACCTTGCTCTTGATAATCTGATTTATCTTTACTTTTCTGACCTTGTTTTTCACTTTCTCTTCCTGTTTCAGTCAATTGAATGACTTTAGGTCTCTTACCATCTTGCCCAATGCTCATTAACTTTGTGTAATGCAACATTCTCTGTTTGCAGTGCACACATCAGTTCTTCCTACATGCTTTTCTCTAATTCATACTTGTTCGTCAAGATTTCCTTCTTCCAGGAGCATTTTGTGACTTGACCCCAAATTCCTGTTTATATTACATTTCCCAGTGTGTGTTCCTTGTAGGCAGGGAGAGAATCCTATGCTTCTTAGATCTCCAAAAGAAAAACCCAATACATACTAATAAGTGTTGGATGAATGAGGGATTTGTCCTATGTGGCAATTGCTCAAGTATAATAGATGCTGACATTTTCATTTTACCTCTGAGCAAACAGCCTGCAGGGAGCTGGGAGACAGGCTCCAGATCACATGAATAAACCAGAACCAAAAATCTCTAGTCTGACCCAGAACTCTTTTCAATATTTTGTGTTCCTACAGAATTTCCTTTTATGTGCAAATACACATATAGAAGGAAATTAGAGTTGAAAAGAGTTTTGATGCACTCTTGATTCCTAGCACCCATAAATATCATCCCTTAACAATGGGCTGTGTTGTTATGTTAGTGCTGGCTGAATTAGATACCCTGTTGGGTGATCTAGCTTCAGGTTGCAAAACAAAGTCAGGATTTAATTAGAAAACATCATGAATCAAATGAAAGTAAAGTTATCCTATGCTAGTTTATGATTTTTAAAACTGGTTTATTAAACTTGAAAATAAGCCAGATAATATAACAATTTATTTAAAAAAAAAAAAAAGAATAACATCTTCCAATGAATCTCTTTGTTTTGTTTTTTGCCCAGAAAATAGCTGAAAATGAAGGATGACTAGTTATTTGTCATCTTTCATGACTTAGGTGATTAGAAATTATAGTTTGTAAATTAGTTTTCAATGTTGTTCAAATCTCTTTTGCATTGCACATTAATTTAAGCAATAGCTTCCATTATGAATGAGATATGTAGTAATCAGAATGACCATTTGTCAATATCTCCATGGCAAATTATCACCAAATGTAATTTTTTTTCTAAGAGGAAATGACATTTTTTGCACAAAAGGCAGATTTTGTCACTGTAAGAATTAATATAGATTGCCTTTGGCTCAAAAATATTGTTAGTAAATCTTTTCTGACTACCCTTGAAAACAATTAAATTCTCATCTTTCTCCCTAGGGAAGCATTTGTTGAGAAATTAAAAGTTGACAAATTATACCAACATATTTTGGTATGGCTAGTTTAATATTATAGTAAAGATAAGCATGTAGAGTTTGGTATATTTCATACTTCTGCATTTTTTGACCTTGAATACATCTCTTTACCTCTAGAACCTCATTTGTAAAATGGTAAAAAATTATTTCCTCCCTAGAATCATTGTGAGGAATTGAATGAGAAAGTGACCATAGAATCAAATAAACTCCTTTCCATCTTGTTTACAGGCTTTAGCTTTTAGTGAAATCTATTATAGTGATAGTGCAGGAAGCTGCTGGTTAGAGGCTGATAAATTTACAAATTGTATACTCAGAAACAACTGGGCAGGTGTAGCTATTAAGACAAATGGGTGTGAGAATGTGAGAACAGACTGTCTGTGACATCCCTCATCACATCAGTTATTACAACAATTGACTATTGGCTAGATGACTGCATGGCTTACTCTCCCCCTTACTGTGTTTGTGACATGTGTCTATTTTTAAAGCTGTAGTCCCATTACAAGATAAGGCAGCTAAATAAGCATCTTTTTCAGTTAGTCTTTCCTTTATTAGAACGCCCAACTTAGTTTTACTTGTGAAAACAACTAAGGTACATGTTCAATTTGTGCATCTGGAAAATTTAAGAAGAAATCTGTAATTCGATAGGGTGGTGGTACCTAAGCCACCACCAAAGTAAAGATACACAGAAGGGTACACAATAAGCATCTTGGGAATTGAGAACACTGACTCACAATTCATATTCTAGTAACTAGAGAGCAGTTGCTTTCTACAGAGTAATTTATTAAATGCATTACATTTTTATAGTTGGGGAACTTGGTCAGTAAGATATGGTATCATCCCAGTTGGTGTCTGAATAGCATGTTTAAGGGTTTGAGGAAATAGAAAGCTCATGATTTTCATTTGTATTGGTTGGATAATTAGACCTGATGCCTTCATTTTTCTCTCTAGATCATCTTGAACATAACCCTATATATAACTCAGCAGCCCCTTACCCCCAAAATGGGAGGGGAAGCAATAGGAGGAGCTCCTAGAGAGGTGTTGGCTTCATTAAGTAACTTCAGAGAGCTTCCTTATATATCCTTCCCTGAGGCAGTGCTTGATGCATGGGGGTAAATTGGCCTTTATGTATGTCTGCCCTCTCCTAGCTTTTGATGCCATTTGGATGATGAACTATTGGATAGGAAATTTTAAATAACTGTGTGTATAATTAAGTGCTAAAATAAAATGGACAGATAGTGAAAGTCATAGATAACTTGCTATATCTGTGTAAACTAGCAAGATTAAGAAAACCTCTGTGGCCCTCTCTGGTGACGCAGTGGGTTAAAGCACAGTACTAAGAATCTAAGCCACTTTCGCATGAGTTCGACCCCCACATACCCCGGAGGTGACCCGCATGGTGCGTCAGACCTCTCCTGAACCCTCCTGCTGCTCCCCTCAGCAGTATACTTCGTCAGTCTGCCTGTTCTGCTTCCCACTCTGCCTCTGCCCATGCATTTCTGGCCTGTACCCCAGTTCTGTATCCACAAATAAAATAAATCTTTAAAAAAAAAAAAAAAAAAACCTCTGAATGGGGATAGAATACCTCAGTAGACTACAGGTGTCGTGATGGCAGGTGTGGTGACATATTAACACCTAAAAGGAGATACCCATTACTTTTTAAACAAACAATGATGTAAATCAACGTTAGAAAGAGAAAAGAAAGATTTTGTGAGAGTTGAGTAGCCTTTGAAACTTGGCTAGGATTGAAATCCTTATTTTTCTCATGTCTGAACTTTGGCAAAAGCTTGATCTCTGGTTGGTTTCACCCTGACACTCAGAATGTTTCTAGATTGTCACCTCATAGCGGTCCACTTGCATCATGCAAAGAGAAAATTATTGTGGGCCAAACTTTCCTGAGGGGAAAAGTTGAAGTTAACTCTAGGATGGCAAAGAAGCTTGTAATAAATGGACATTCATTTTCCTATCCACCATAGGTATGCTTTTAGAGTCCAAAAGTTTAGAATTTGGGTCATGAGAATACATGTATTTCTTAAGTTT